TGGACTTGTGCAGAGAGCTGTGAGACTCAAGCACACGTACCAAAGAAATAACCCCTGACAGTATTGGTTATTTGTTTTTTTTGTTTCATGTCAACTATGTCATAAGAGATAATCAGGTCATCAGGGGTTGCTTTGATTGTTATAGGAGCGAATAAAACTGATAGTTGGAATTTTAAGCTAACACACGCAAGTGTTGTTCACAAACAAAATAAAGCACTCTTCTGTTATGTAATATAAAAAAGCGGTGCATCTCCATCCGCTGCAAAGAAGCACAAAACAGCACACAAATAATATAATCAGGCCTGACTGTTGTGGGTGATGTGTGTGATCACGGCAAGCTGCCATGTGCACGTGTTTTTCTTTCCACCTTTACACGCTGCTATCTGTATCTACATAGGCCCTGCTGCAATGCAAAGCTGGTTTACCACGTGAGCACAAACACACAGAGCTAATAGAGCCAAGAAGCACACACCTGGTAAACTGTCAAAGCTTCTCCTTTTCTGTGGCCAAACTTATGTCAGGCACTCATGTCCCCAAGGTTCCCATCACACTTCACCGCAGGAATCTATATTCCAGTCCAGTACACTTCCATTAGGCCATACTGTTCCCTTCAGCAGCTAATGTGTATCAGGGGGACATGGATAATAACATCCAAGAACACAAACACTTCCTCCCGATAATAAGTTGACACCGGGTTGTGTGTGGGTGTGCATGGATGTGTGGCAACCAGTGCTAACCCCTGAGTGTACCCACACATGGCACATTTGGTTCTTAAAAGTATATTGAGGATAATACCCTCGAAATATCTCATTATCAAAAAAGATTTTGTACAAATTAGAAACTGAATTAGCATTATGTTTTTTCCTCTCTTAATAGTAGTTTTCATTGTTTTGGAAAAGAAACCTTTAGAAGCATTTAAAATACACAAACATTCAGCAGCGGACCACAGAAAGTGATACATGCTGTGATTAGGGATGGACATCACAGGATACCCCACGATACGAACCGATAAGATACGATGCTAGATTAGATTAGATGCATTTGCACCATTTGTCAGTAACTACCAAAAGGTGTTCCATCTCCATTGAGATCCACATGCTGCTAAACTAATCTGCGCGTAGCTACATGTGCAAAGGCACAATATTTTGCTTGTCATTACATCATACCGTAAGATGCCTATAAATGAAGAAGGCTTCTCCTGAAATCTTAAACAACAGCTTTGTTAACGAGTATTGAAACACTGCAAATGGAGTGGGTATACAGCTAATGTGATATTAAGTGAATCTCTATTCTGGGAGCATTATTAAGCAGCAAAAACTCGGCAGAACACCAGGTCTAATGAAAGGCCTTAAAACTCCTGCAATATGAGCACCAGTGAGATTCTTGTGCATTACCCTAGTTTGTAGCATGTTTTAATTCATTGCTCAACCATTCTCTATAAAATGGGCAGTGATTGTCACGTAGGACTTATAGACTGTATATGAATAGACGTAGTCTCAGTGATGTCACCAATTTCTTTCTTTCTTTCTTTTTTTTAAAGATTTATTTTTGGGCTTTTTGTGCCTTTAATTGAGAGATAGGGCAGTGGATAGACTCAGAAATCAGAGAGAGAGAGTGTGGAATGACATGTGGGAAAAAAGCCACAGGTTGGGTTCGAACCTGGGCCGCCCACTTGGAAGACTACAGCCTCCATACATGGGGCACACGCATTAACCACTGCGCCACCAGCGCCCCACCAATTGATTTCTGAAGCCGACTTTTGAAGGCCATCATAGTGTTCGCTATTTTGAAAATGCTGTCTCATACTAACTTTCATTTAACATAGAAACAGGCTGATAGCTGGAGCTGGTGCAGGCCTTAAGACTCCTGACAGCTATAGCCCTTATTTTGAATAACTTGTTCTTCACAAAATCAAAACGGATGAGTAATAAACCTGGCTGTTAACATGTTTATTTCATCAATCCAAGTGGACATTTGAATATGGGATAACCACAAGGATGCCAAATCCACCAGGACAGAAACCTTATGGGTTTTAAGTTGTATTTATGATGTGTTTTCTTGTCCCTTTTAACATCAAAGGGGAGAGATTCAGCGACTTACAAAAGAGAATTACATCAGGGTGTGAACATAGCCTTCTAGCTCAAGACTAAATCCAAATTCTGCTCTCGTGATCTCCAGTTGTGTAAATGAGGCTGCCCATTTGTATTTTTTGTATACATTACCTGAGGATTGGATTGTTTGTGCTATGAGTTGAGCAAGAGCCCTGCGATTCAAAATAGCTTATTTGGTGGTTCATACCTGGTCCTACTTAATTTGCAGCAAGTTAAGTCCAGCAGGATTTGGTGTGTTGATATGACATCTGATTTCATTTAAAATCACAGTAATGAAAGGGTAACCACACCGGCCATAAGCGCCACGAAGGGATTAATGACAAAACTTGGATGTTAATACCTCATAACTCCTCTCTGGAGAATCCTAGTTTTACATTAATTACACCGTAGCCCCTGGCATAATGCATATCTAATAGGATTTTGCAAACAAACAACAGGCACATCTACTTACCATCAAGCTGTCAAGCAACAGGATTCATATCACACAAGATTTAGAAACACGGTGGCCTCCAGAGAGGATAGGTGTGATGGGAGGTAGTCAAATGCATGAACACCCACATAAAGAGACAGACCCAACTGAAAACACTACAGCATGTGATACCTCAAGACATCTCCTGTACATCTCCTGAATATGATATTTTGAACAGGGTCTATAGGACGTTTAGGCAAACAGGCATACTGTTTTCATCGTTCCGCTGCTGTTGCACCTGTTGACGCTTTTGCTACAGAACTAGAGTACACCCTGCGTTTCCTTAGATCTCTGGTGTTTGTATGTGTGTGAGTGAAGTCGAAGGGAAGAGCAGAGCAGCCTCGCCTGTGCGGCCTGACACCCATCAATGTCGGCCTGTTACATTTCTATGACACGCTATGTCTCTGGGAGAGCAGAGCTGGGAAAAAGGGGAGACAGGAGGATGTGGGGTGGACAGGACTGGGTAGGCGGTGTGGTTTAGGGAAAGTCAGCAGGAGGGTGAAAACTGAACTGAGAGGTACAAGAAAAGGGTTTTATTTGTCTCAAGTGTAACAGGGCAACTTTCAAGTTCAGTGAATGTTGGTGTTTATACGACAGGGATGCTCCTAGGGGATTCATTTTCTCAATCTCAATTCAGACTTGCCGAAAGGTAAGAAAACACAAAGAAAGCAGTAAATATCCAGCACAATTTATTCACAACTGTCCGCGGGTAAACAATGTAATTTGGTTTGCTAAGTGTGGCTAACAAGAGCTGTGCTAGCACCGCAAGTGGTTGGTCCTCCCTGCAGGGTTACAACCTCATTCCTGTGTTAAATGTAATTACACATTGTTCCGGTTGATATGCCAGTTTAACCTGACACAGCCTACATACATTATGTCTACATTTCTAAGTCGAAATATTGCCAGACTGCAATGCTCCTATGAAATGCTATCCAATTAACTTTGCTTTGTTTGCATCCGGGTAGCAGAGCAGGGAAGGCAGGCCCATTAACCTGAGCTACAGCCAGTCTATGGCTACAAACCCAGCTAGTGCCATGTTGCTACGTTGTAGTTTGAGCAGAACTCTTGACCGGCATCAATGGCCAATATATACAAATATTTATAATTAGTTTAACTGACTAGTATTTCTGGCGCTAACTAGCAAGGTTGATGCAGTTTAACCGTTCAGTTGACGCCCATATCCCAAAATACACACACATGCAAGGCTATGTTTTTTAAAATCTGTATACCTACTCTTTGCATCACGGCTGTATAGTCATTAAATATTGTTTCTTGTCTAAACATTAAGTGATGCAGTACAATGCAATACATGCAAGGTTGTTTACGGCCTTCCATTCGGTTGATCGTTTAACCTTTCTAAGCCTCAATGGTTTGAAGACCTGCTCTTCTCTCAGAACACACAGAGAAGAAAGAAAGAGGAGCAGCAAGAGCAACAACCTTGTTAGCATCTTTGCCTCGGCCAACATGCATCTTATGTTTACATTTAGCCACGTCGACTGTCAAATCCCAATTGTGGGTCAATCTGCCATGCTGCAAACGAGGGGGGGCATAATTAATGACGAGGAGACATGAACCAGACCACGGACAAAATCAGTTCAACAACCGGAGAATTCTCCCCTCAGCTCCAACCTCCCATGAGCGCATCCTCTGGCATTATGTAAGAACACTTATTTCCCTTTTCTGTATACCATCTCATTATTCAAATGTAAAGGAAAGAGGAAGAGAACAACGCCCTCTGGCCTCATGCTAAGCTAATTTGCAGGATAAACGAATCTAATTGTTTTGTCTAGAAAGCCGTCAAAAGTTTATGCATGTTGTATTTGCATGATTAAGTAAAACATGTGCCTTTTGGCTGGTTTCTCTGGCTCTTTGTATTCCATCAGAGGGCGTGTAGCTGGTGAGAAGATGGGAGGGGTCGAGTGGATATTCACTGTTATTTCTCTCCAGCACAAGCTTGATTTGACCATGTTAAGCCATGCTGCCTCTGTATGGAGCCTCTTATACCCACCCCCATACACTGTATGTATGAACAGAGCTGTTCATACTCTTCATCTTATGAATTCATTCCTAAACCTAAACCTTGTTTACTCTGTTTGTAGCACATGAAATGTAGAGCTTTGCACCCCAAACCTCAGTCATTCTGCACCACTGCTTCAAAAGTGTGAAGCAGATTGGGTCTGATCAATGCTGGCATTATCCCCCTAGGACAGACACATGGAAAAGTTGAAACTGGGCCTTCAAAAGACTGAGATATTGATTGAATTGCTTTCCAAAGTGGTTTTCATCTCGGGGACCATGCATGGAGAATGCCGGCTGGTGTGTGGCCGAGTACAGATGGCATGGCTGACCACCGTAGAGAGTAAAGAGAGTGAGAAGAGGAGGGCTGACAGATCGAGGGAGACAGGGGAACAGACACTTACCCCTGGCAGTGTTTTCTGTTCATGGAGGGCGTTTTGGGCTTTGATGGCCGACTCTCTGGCGCAGTAGGTGAGGAATGCACAACCTGAAACACAGGTATATGACATAAACACTTATTTAGGATTATTAATACCACTCAATTAAGATCACAAAGATTAAAACAGTTTTCAAAGACACATGATGCACAATTGGACACATGAAATACTTTACAGGTGTTCATGGGTTAATAGTAAACTTCCATTTCTGGAAACACAAGCAGCTTTTTTTGCCAGACAACTGGGTATACGGAAAAATGTGTGAGAAACATTCTTGCTCACCCAGGCATGAAATTAAAATAAAATTGTCGGCTAACACACGACCTAAAAACACACTGTCCATATTCTGTACATTCACACAGCTAACATCGTAGAGGCTACAGGGGCTTCCTGGATTCCAATTAGCTAAGAGTATCAATTATCTTCAAAAACTCTGTCATTAGTCCGTTACCCTCATACATTCAATATACATGCGTGTTGCTATATTTATACATTGTTTGCCACTTTTGCGCATCTGTAAATAAGAAATTCCAAGCAATGCTTAACGTGGACACATGTTGTGGCACATCTCGTTGTACTGAACTACACGCGTGCAACCAGGAGTCTAGAGTCCCTGAGCGAGCAGGAGCCTCACATTTTGCAACCTCAAACTGTATTACTAAAATATTACATGTAGTAAAAGAAAAAAATATATATATTCAAATCAAAATAATCAAAATAGGACATGAAAATGTACGAAAGAGAATTTGGACCAGTGAAAATATTATTTTGCATTCTGACTTTTATTTTACAATGCTAAGCTCAAAGTCAGACTGCTAATAAAAAAGTCAGGATTCGGACTTTAAGGTTAGATCTCAAAACTAAAAAACATTTTTTTTTCAATTATGCTAATCCTAAATTTGTTCATTCTCAGTGTCCTTTAATAAACTCTCCATATATTTTGTCCCTCAAAAATATCACAAACAGGCACAGTGGTTTAAAAAAAATGCACTCCGAACATTAGAGTAGGGGCAACATGAAGAATGGACAGGAAAACATGAGTTTGTTCTGTTTCAACACAAAAAGTACTTGGACACTAAGCATTAACAAAATGATAAAAAGATCAGTATAAAGGTTTAGAGAAAACATGAAACTCTGTGTTAGTACATCATAGATTAAACAGATATGGTTAATGAAAAAAAGAAGTAATGCAGTACACTAGGCAACATGCAGATAGTTTGAGATGATGGATGGGGAGGTGAAGGAAAAAACAAAACCTCAACAGAAAAGTGGGGGTGGGCAAAGGTTTTTACAGCTTCCCCATCCCTCGTGCCATGACCTGTCAAAAGCTAGCAGCCTGGCCAGCGTCCCCAATTTGAGTGGTTGTGACAGCAGCAGAGACACAAGAAACAGGACTGCAGGAGAATATCGGGAGGGGGGCTAGAAAAGGAGAGAGGAATGGATGAGAGACCAATGTAGGACTGGAGGGAGGAGGGAAATACTGACAGAAGAGAAGTGAAGACAGGATGTGGTGTTAAAATCTCTCCAGAGTAAATAGCTTCTGCAGGTTTTCAGGTATCCTGCCTACCAAACACACACACACACACACAAACACCCACCAAGCATGAATGTTAAGCATACACATGCACACAACATCTGTCAAATCACTGAATGCACAAAGAAGAGAAGAGAGACAGAGGGAAACCAGATGCAGTGTTGAGGCAACCATTTCCCCCCTGACAGTCTGAATTAATAGATTTGCTTGTGTTCTATTAATGAGGTTCATATGGGTTACTGTGCATCATATTTCTGCCACTCTCAAGACGCTTTATTAGCAGCCGCTGCATGTCGGATCTTATTTCAACAGCCAAATGTATTCAGTATGTGGTAATGTATTTAGTGTCTTAATACAGACAAAATCCCAACCTGTATTCCCTTTCCTTTAAACCAACCATTTTTATTTTGTGCATGTGTGACCATTTCATTGGCCAATGCCCCGTTCTGGTAATTCTCCACTGTAACCTTTGCAGGAATGTATCAGAAAGGAGGTTTAACCTGCCATGTCAGTCATTGATCCATTGATTGAACCGTAACCTGTTTTGTCTTTCTGCTCTAAGCTTAAAGTGTCTACATACGTATGTGTGGAAGTTCTCAAAAATCTTCTTTGTACAATTTAATTATGTTCTGTTTTTTCAGATCACAATAAGTTAATTATTTTCTATTCACTAACACTTCTCCTTTTGTTTGGGACTGTCAGTCAGCACCCTGACAGACTTCTCAGCATAAGAAAGACAGATAGTGATGGAGCCTGGCCAGGGTCGTGACCTTTGAGGTGGCTGACTGTAGCACTGGTGTCCTCCCCATAGCCTCCCTTGTCCCAACACCCCTAACCTAATGATTTCCAATGGTCACCAAGCAAATCACTCAATCACTCACACTGCTGTCTCACTTCCCTTTTCTCCTCTACATCAGCTAACAAAGAAAATACCAGATATTGTTGTTGGTTTTTTGGTTTGCCTCACTGTTTGTTTCACAAATGGTTGAGGGTAAGAGGAGGGAAGGGCTCCATTTTACTGCTTGTTTTTCTCTTTTTGCCCGCTCTCTCTGGGCTTGTTGTTGTTGGTTTTCTTGACAAATGCTGGCCCTATCTCTGAATAAGGAACAAGTATTTTGCATTACAATCACAAACACGATTTATTTGTTAATGTGTAATGCATATAGGGCATTGAGAATAAATTAATAAGAACTACAACACTGGCAAACAAAAGAGAAACATGAACTCCATTTAAATGTGATTCTGTGCTCTTTAATGTATGGCTTAATAAGAATTTGCAGGCCACAGGCGAAAAAGCTTTAACAAGTCCATAATTGGAATCCAAACACGTACAAATTGCCAGCGCTGCGTTGCATACCAAGTGCCGAAGTGTGAGGGGGGGAGCATGATGAAATTGTTTGAAACACAACAAAAAGCCACTGTAATCGGAGCCTGCTGACAAAGCAATGGGGAAAGCCTTCCCATTGTGAGGAGATGATCCTCTGCATCAACTGATAAAAAGCTAAAACAGCCTTATCACACACGTCGAATTCAGCTCCAAAGTGAATAAATTTTTTACTTTTCCTCTTTGCTCCCTTTCCCCTTTCTCTCCTTTCTTCCATCCAGTCTTCTTTCTCTTTGCCCGCTCAGTTCCTTTCCGATTTCTCAATGATATATTTTTCATGTGTGCCGTGTACTGGGAAATAGAGCCAAGTCTCTCCATCACCACTGTGGTGAATTGGCATGTAATTAAAAAAAAGAGAGAGAAAGAGAACGGCTGAGAGAGAGAGAGAGAGAGAGAGAGAACGAGAGAGAGTAAGCAATGGAAGATACTGAATAGTTCACTGTGGCCGAGGCGCTTCATTAACACAAACATATTTTATTTCAAGCTCTTTGTGTGTCTGGGGCAGCACAGAAGCCCAATTCACCCAATTTCAAATTAGATTCACAACATAATTCATTTTTATGTAGTTAATAATCTATATAATAAATTGTGATACTATTTTTTCTGAACATGAAATTCTACAACACATTTGTCGTGACACATCTTGTCACCAGTATCCATTTAACATTCATTAAAGGTCACATATTATCCTCCTTTTCAACAAGTTTAAATAAGTATCAGATCTCCCCCAAAACATGTCTGTGAAGTTTCTTGTTATAAATCCACTCTGATCCTGTATTTTATCATGCCTATATACCCCTCTATTTCAGCCCTGTTTAGAACAGGCTGTTTCTGTGTCTTTAAATGCAAATGAGCTGTGTTTGACCACGCCCCTCCCTGGAAGGGGATGTGGCTCAGGCTTTCTTGCACCATGCCGTATTGTTTACAGTTTGAAGGCAGACGCAGAGGCAGAACAAACACCTAGCTGTGGGAGTGTCAACCATCTGGGGGAGGGGTTACTGCCCTTGGTGATGTCACACCGGGAAATTAAATAACGGCCTGTTTGAGCACAAATTTTCTGAAAAGTTGAACAGGGAAAAGATGGAGAGGATGGACATTTTTCATAATTGGGGGGTTTTGTAGACAGACTAGGGACATATATTAGTGTTAGAAAACCATGGTGAACTGCATTTTGCATAATATGTGACCTTTAAAAAAGTCTTTAGATGTATTGCTATGTTTTGTTTTCTGAGGCATTTTTTGTTTGTTATCCCACAATAAGAAAATTATCCTGCAGCTGTGAGCAGGTCTTTAATTTCCCTGTAAATTAACAATAATTTATGGCAAGCAGATTGTTAATACTAAGGCACATTTGAGTAACCCTCCTTGACAATGTAACAATGTAAACTTTTTTTTTAATTCCATTAATTCAACAGAGTGAATGCAATGGACTCTCTTAATTTAGGTTTTGAAAGCCTCTGCTTATTCAAAATAAATTAAAGGACAGAAGTACCTTTGATTTTATTTTGTCATGTCAAACCATGTGGTTTATTGTTTGCTATTAAAAAACATTATTGGACAAAACAATCCTTACCTAGCTCCATAAAAGAAAAGCAAACATAAGAAATACATTTGTATCCAAATGTTTCCTTTTCTCAACAAATTAGAAATCCCCTAGCCTGCTCCCTAGCCAAATATTAATAAATTACTTCTCTAAATATATACCTGATCCTTGACCCTTGAGTTTACTTCTAGCATGGAGAGCTGTAAAATAATTAATTTATTTCTAGTAATGATTTAATAAACTTTTCAGGCTTTTGCAATACATTTATGTGTAAAAATGCATCTTAGTAAACACCTGGCAAAATAAGACATTCTTACTTTTCTCACACAAAGGCGAGTAATACGTACTGTTTAAGATCAATGTGACTTTTTTTTGCATTTTTTTATAGAAGATTTATGTCACAGTTTAAGCATTTTGCTAGAGGTTATTATTGGGCTTCATTGTGTGCTGCAGAATAGTCAGCATGAATGCAAGTCATTGTAGAATGAGTTTAAACCACAACCCTTCTCTTTTCACTCCCCCCTTTTATTCCCATTCTGCTCCCTTTTCTCAATCTCCTTGCCCCAGAGGAGCCAAACTGCCCCAGTGT